ACACACACACAGTTACATGCATGTCCACATACAGTATAAGCTTAATAAAACATCAAGAGATGGAGCAGATTGTCCATATGTCTGAATTAAAATGTAAATCAACTTGAGCATTTTAGTAAAGGCTGAGATGCAGTCATGTGAACTGACAACATGTTTGATAGCTCAATAAATAAAAGTTTTGATTGACATCAAGGGAAATCAAAATCAGAACGTCAACAAGCAGAGAAAAAAGCTCAACCTTATGCTTTTGAGTTTACAGATTTGTGCATCATTTGCAATAACTTCATCATTGTGTGAATGTAAGAACATGTGTCTGTGTCAATCACAAGTCTAGAAATAGGACAGCATAATCAAAACAAGGATGTGGATTTCCATCAGGAGAGGGAGTCTGCTGAATCGTTCACCCACCTTTCTTGTAGTCAGGTATGCTGTCTTTGAGCAGGCAGCTGAGCTGGTGGCCGTTGAGATGAAGGAAGCGCAGCTGGTCTCGGAGAGAGCTTTCCTCCAGCACACCCGGGATCACACGGCCAACACTGTTCTGGGAAATGGGGAGGCCAAGTCCCAGGGCCAGTGTCGGCGTCAGGTCCACCTGCTCCACCACTCCAGGCTTCTCCATGCTCACTTAGTGACAAACAAAACACAGAAGAAGCACAATAAATCCTCCTGACCCTTTGATAGCTACAGAGTATTACTTTGCCCTCTAATATTATGGCATTACGCTTGCTTTGAACAAATCGCTTTATCCAGAACTGTAACATCATATCTCCCCCCCCCCCCCCACAGACACACACACACCCCTGAACATAAGAGGATCTGCGGTGGAAGTGGTCTCCAGCTACAAGTACTTGGGTGTACACCAGAACAACAACCTCAGCTGGAGCAACAACACCACCAGCCTGATCAAGAAAGCTCATCAGAGACTCTACTTCCTCAGACGGCTGAGGCGAGCTGGTCTGGGAAGCTCAGTCCTCACCTCCTTCTACAGGTGTGCAGTGGAGAGCATCCTGTGCTCCAGCATCAATGTGTGGCATGGAGGCTGCACAGCTGCAGAAAGAAAAGCTTTGCAGAGAGTGGTGAAGGCTGCACAGAAGATGTTGGAGTCAGCCTCCCCACCATCACAGACATCTACACCTCCAGATGCAGGAAGAGAGCCACCTGCATCGTGAAGGACCACACTCACTCAGCACACACACTTTTTGCCCCGCTCCCCTCAGGAAGGAGGTTGAGGAGCATTAAGTGTAGAACCACTAGACTGAGGAACAGCTTCTACCCTGAAACTGTTAGACTCATGAATCTCTAACCAGAATAATCACTGTGGAAAAAAAAAAAAAATATTGCTGCTGATCTGTTTCAAATGTTGCTGTGTTCATTCAAACTAATCTGCTCACACAGACTCATGTTCGTGCTGCTGTTCAACATATTGTTTTTATGCTATTAGTGCTTAGTGTATATTTAGTTGATGTTTTTCTTAGTTCATATCTTTGATCTTATTACCGTTTTTGTTTTACATTTTATTGTTGGATGTAACTAGGACCCTGTGTACATAATCTCGTTCCACCACATGTACCACATGGTACAAATGACAAATAAAGAAAATGACTCTAACATAGTTTTTACTGACACAGTTGAACCTATAGTTGGTCACAACTACTTTCTAGCTTTACAACCTGGAAATTAACTGGATTTTCCTCTAAGTAGTAAGAGGCAGCACCAAGACAGTGATAGCATGAACAACAAGCAACTCTACAGAAAGTTAGGGTCGGCTTGGGTTTCCTGAGCTGTCCATTAGTTATGGTGCTATAGGCTTAGACTGCTGGAGGACAAACTGACCACACTTTTCACTCTGCTACTGTCTTTACTTACTCTGCTCAACCTGTTTTGTATTTGTAATTATTTTTTCTATCCTTAACATGTGTTTTTGTTTTCAGGTGCACCTGGACCTATACCTGGACCTATATCTTTATATATGTATCTATACCTTTTTTTTTTTCTTGCTATTCTACGGTGAAACCAGACGTGTTTCCCTCTCTCCCCCCCACCCGCTTCCCTGCTTGCATTCTTTCGTCCTGTGAACCCTTAAAAAGCCTCTTTTTTTCTGCATACCTCTTAATTGGAAGGATCAGCTGGTTTCTCAACAAAATCAATCAACTTCTCCCGACAGGAGTCAGGGTAAGGAGGACCCTCTACCTCTAAGGAACAAATTGGATTCATGATGACAACTAGATTCTACTGTTTGGTTGGTGAAATCTGGTTGTCTATAAATTTGTGTGGAGGTGTTGAAGCTTGACAGTGGTCGGACTGAATGTGGAGCTGTGACAGGGAAATGGAGCAGCTGTATCAGGACTGTGATCTCCCTGGCAGCACTCTTGAATGGTGGAATAATCTGGAGAAGCTGTGAGCTCAACTTTTGGAGTAAAGGATCAATTCGGCTGTTTTGGAGTTTCCATCAGAGAGAAGGCAGAAACAACAATTACGAGTTCTGCCTGACCCAAACTGTGGCCTTGACGCCGGACTTCTCTCAACTCCTCCTGGAATGTTTGGAAAACAACAAAGATGCTTTGACTGTTTCCTCACCCCTCCCTTCCCCAAGGCCGTGGACGTGTAACAGAACCTCAACTGAGCTGAAGATGAACGTTACCTCTTATCTGGACAATGGCTGAGAGGGGGGGGGGGGCTGTGGACTACGCTACGACTTTCCCTTAAAATTCAATGTTTTCACCGCCTATATGTTCATGTATAACGTCTGTTTATGTTGCTTTGCTGTGGTAGGTTTTTTTGATGCCTCAAATTGTGCCCCGTCTAGGACACGGTGTGAGAGATCTTTTTTTATACCGTCTCTCCTCATGTTTTCTTTCCTTTTCTTATCTAAGCAAAATATTATTCTGAATAAGAATAAGAAGGCCGCGCTAATTATTTATAGCCGCAGCTTCGTGCACTCCGCCCATCTTCGGACGACTGTATGTACATATTCGCGTTGTATCTCGGTGCAATGCCAATAAAGTTTATTCTGATTCTGATATCTGGATCTACCATTCTGTGTTCGTTTTTCGCTCCTTCTTGTCCTCTCAAATCCAGCCGGTCAAAACAGATGGCCGCTTGTGTTGAGCCTGGTTCTGCTGGATGTTTCTTCCTTTGAAAAGGGAGTTTTTCCTTTCCACTGTTGCCTTTGTGCTTGCTCAGAATGTGAGATTGTGATGAAGTGAATATTCAATGAGTCTTCTTGCTTTCTTAGATAGAGAACTTTACTAATTGGCTTATTTTTAACCACGTGAATCTAAAGGACTGTCTCCCAAGCTTTAATCAGCATGTGACGATTCCGACACGTGGAGACCGCACGCTGGACCGTGTTTACACGAACGTAAAAGATGCATACAAAGCCGAACCCCGCCCCCACCTAGGACTGTCAGACCACATCTCAATCTTCCTGGCTCCTGCTTACATGCCCCCGCTGAGACGCTCCAGACCGGTACAAAAGAAAGTTAAATGTTGGATCCAGGACAGTGGCCCCATACTGAGAGATTGTTTTGATCGAACAGACTGGCAGGTTTTCAGAGAAGCTGCTGAAAATGGAGGTTCGCTTGATCTTGACCAATACACATCCTCAGTACTGGGTTACATTAGTACATGTACTGACACAGTCTACACTATCAGAAATGTTAAAAGCTACCCAAACAGAAAACCTTGGCTGAATGCAGAGGTGCGTACCCTGCTGGAAGCCAGGAACACTGCCTTCAGGTCTGGAAACTCAGAGGAGCTGAGTAGGACAAGAAAAGAGCTGGTTGCTGGTATTAAGAGGGCCAAGGGCACATATGCAAAGAGGATCGAGGGTCAATTCATCTCACAAGACCCTCGGAGCATGTGGAGGGGCATTAAGTGCATAACAGATTATAAAGGAAGGAGTGAACAATGTCCCAAAGACCCATCTTTGCCTGATGCCCTCAACAAGTTCTATGCACGCTTTGAAGACCCGAACAGACCACCCAGCACCAGACTCACCTCACCACCGGATGAAGAGCATCTCAGCGTGACCTCAGCAGAAGTAAGGAGTACCTTCAGGAGGATTAATCCGCACAAAGCAACTGGCCCAGACAACATCCCCGGAAAAGTGTTGAAGGAATGTGCTGATCAGCTCTGTGAGGTGCTGGCAGACATCTTTAACACCTCACTTACCCTGGAGACAGTTCCCACCTGCCTGAAGACTGCCACCATCATCCCAGTCCCAAAAAGCTCTACAGTGACTGGTCTGAATGACTATCGGCCAGTGGCCCTCACCCCGATAGTCGCTAAATGCTTCGAAAAACTGGTCATGACTCACATCAAAACAACCATCAACATCAACGAGGACCCTCATCAGTACGCATACCGTGAGAACCGATCAACAGAGGATGCAATCTCCTCTGTGGTCCACACTGCACTCAACCACCTGGAGCAGAAAAACTCTTACGTCCGTATGCTCTTTGTGGACTTCACATCCGCCTTCAACACCATGATCCCCCAAACCCTGATGGACAAACTATCCACACTAGGACTAAGCCCCTCCATCTGCAACTGGGTACTAGACTTTTTAACAAACAGACCACAGTTAGTGAGGATCCACAACCTCTCCTCCTCCACCATAACCCTCAGCACTGGCTCTCCTCAGGGATGTGTGTTGAGCCCCCTCCTGTTTACTCTGCTCACATATGATTGTGCAGCTACCCATCCAGGCTGTCACATTGTAAAGTTTGCAGATGATACAGCGGTGGTGGGATGCATCACAAACAATGATGAGTCCAGCTACAGGCAGGAGGTGGAACACCTGGAGAGCTGGTGCAGAGGGAATAACCTTCACATCAATGTGAAGAAGACAAAGGAGATGATTGTGGACTTCAGAAGGAACAAAAACACCTACACCCCCCTGAACATAAGAGGATCTGCGGTGGAAGTGGTCTCCAGCTACAAGTACTTGGGTGTACACATGAATGACAACCTCAGCTGGAGCAACAACACCACCAGCCTGATCAAGAAAGCTCATCAGAGACTCTACTTCCTCAGACGGCTGAGGCGAGCTGGTCTGGGAAGCTCAGTCCTCACCTCCTTCTACAGGTGTGCAGTGGAGAGCATCCTGTGCTCGAGCATCAATGTGTGGCATGGAGGCTGCACAGCTGCAGAAAGAAAAGCTTTGCAGAGAGTGGTGAAGGCTGCACAGAAATCTGTTGGAATCAGTCTCCCCACCATGACAGACATCTACACCTCCAGATGCAGGAAGAGGGCCACCTGCATCATGAAGGACCCCACCCACCCAGCACACACACTTTTTGCCCCACTCCCCTCAGGAAGGAGGTTAAGGAGCATTAAGTGTAGAACCACTAGACTGAGGAACAGCTTCTACCCTGAGGCTGTTAGACTCATGAATATCTAACTAGAATAATCACTGTGAAAAACCATATCATGTTGCTGCTGATCTGTTTCATGTTGCTGCTGATCTGTTTCAATGTTGATGTGTTCATGCGTGCACATCTGCTCACAGACTCATGTTCATGTTTGTGGTGATGTTCAATGTTTTATGTTATGAGTGCTTAGTGTATATTTAGTTGATGTTTTTCTTAGTTCATATCTTAGATGTTATTACTGTTTTTCTT